GCGTCCGTCACCGCGGACGGGCCATCCGTTTTTGCGCGCGCTGATCCCGCGCGGCGGCGGCGGCGCCGATGAAAAACCGCGACGGGGGTAGATTGGAGTCGACCCGGCTTGTCTCCGGCTTTTTGTCCGGCGCCAAGCGGCGGCATCCTGAACCACATGTTCGCCGTTTCAAGTGCGGGTGTCCCGGGGGGTCCCAGCGTGGCCTTCAGTGTGTGACGTCATCAGTGCTCGGACGTGGCGGCCGCGGGTTATCGAGGTGTAACCTGATGAATGTTACAATGTGGAAGTGATTTAGCAATAATTTACTGTTGGCGACGCTGAGCGGGGTTGAGGTTTAAGTCCTTCTGAACGCAGCCCAGGGAGGGGAAGGGAGCGAACTGACTATGTTTTCCAAACAGCCATGAGCTTCCCAATAACAGTTTTGCCCTAACAGATCCGGGAGATAAAGAGTGGTGTTCCAGGCGGCGTGGTGTTAGATCTGAAACGTACCGGTCCTCGGAAGGGCCCCAGTGTGGCCCTCTCTGCGCTGCGCTGTGGCACTGTGTGGTATCGTCTTTAGAACGTAACGTAAAGGTGACCGTAAACGTACGTTCCGTCGTAACGTAACGTAACCGTAACCAAGGACCGTAAATGTAACGTAACTGTCCCTGGCAGGTCTCGGGCTGCTCCCCCAAACGGCTCGTGGTGCTGGGAGCCAAGTAACAGCCTCCTCTGGAGTCACCAGGCAGGCGTTCCAAGCAATACGTGGTATAAGGCCAGCGATGTAACCGCCCGGTAGGTACCCCGGCCGGCGGCCCGTCTTAGCGGTGTGTGACGTCAGACCCCGGGTGACGTCTTAACGGCGTGTGACGCCAGACCCCGGCTGCCGTCTTAACGGTGTGTGACGTCAGACCCCGGCGGGCCGTCTTAACGGCGTGTGACGTCAGACCCCGGCCAGCTGTCTTAACGGCGTGTGACGTCAGACCCCCGGCTCGCCGTCTTAACGGTGTGTGACGTCAGACCCCGGCGGCCGTCTTAACGGTGTGTGACGTCAGACCCCGGCTGCAACAGCCCCGGGAAGATCCCGGGTGGCCTATGTCCACGGAGAGCTGTTACCGAACGGCGTAGCAAACCAAGCCTTGACAAGTCGGGGTGGTAACCGTCTAGCCCTCCAAGCTGTGCGGTGTCAAGCTTGTCAGTGCAAGCAATGCGGTGTCAAGGTTGTCAATGTCAATGCGTCTGGCCCTCCAAGCAAAGCTGGAAATAACAGTCGCAGGTGATCCTAGAATGACGTCATTTTGAATGTGAAGTGGTCTTGCTAGAATGACGGCATTCACACGCCCCACACATTCACATAGAATGTGTGGGCCGTGAGTGTATCAGAAATGAACAGCGTGTGTCAAGTGTAAATTACGTGGGCTGGCAAAGGCCAGGAATGACGCCTGGCTTGAGAAACAATGGAGTGGACCTCTAAACGGTGTGTTGTTTCGCTCTATGACCATAGTACCGCGGTAGCGGCAGGATTTGCCTGAGTAGTTTGGCTGACTAATCCACCTTCCTGACACTTGACTTACGGGCTTCTTGACAACCGTGATTGTGGCTTGTTGTGTGATGCTCTCAGGATTTCACCAAAGGGAGCGAATTGTGACAAGGAAAACCTATAAAAGCCGCCATACATGCTTTTTACAAGTTATTTTCCGTGCGTCCTGGTGACTGCAAAGTTCTATGTGAGCAGTCGGCCGAAAAGCGTTGAGGCGTCTGACTGCGGAAGTTACTCACTTTCATTGCGGTGTACAGGGGTAAATACGTCAATTGACTGCTATTTCCTTACTGGCGAGCTGTCGGACCTCTAGAAAAAGTGAGCTACAACGCCGCAGTCCACCAGTGTGACCCGTTTCCCCAATGTACGGTGCTCAGTATTGTTCGGTCGTTCGTCGACACGCATCCGTCGGCTGATGCTATATTTTGAGGTTTGAATATCGAGCCAGGAAGAGGACATACGCGTCCTCTCCCTGGCGGCGCTCGCGAGACAACAGCCTGGTTACCGGGCGGCGCGGCCCCGCACAGAACACAACAAAGGTGGAGCAGTTTCCGGGCTGGCCGTAGGGTCGCAGGGACGGTTAACTAAACAAAACATAGATATAAAGGGAAACTCGACAGGGGGCCGAGAAATGGAGAAAAAGCAGAAGATCAGAGACGGGACAGCCAAGCCGACATTTCACAGAAAAGGGGAACCGTGTAAAGGCAGATTAGTACGGAACATACGGTTTGCGCCACCAGAGCCAGGCCTCCGGAGGTCTCCCCCATCGTGACCGGCCTAGCCTCGGGCAAGTCCTTCAAATCACACAGAAACGCGACCTGATCACGCCTCATGCTTTTTGTCCGCGACGGCGGTCGAAAAAGCGCCGGTAGTGATTTTCCACGTCGTCCCGTGACCCGGCGGCCGATACAGAGAGACGACCGGGACGTGACGCGGCCGTGGGGCCGGGACGCCAGCTATGTCCGCAATGGGCCGCCTCGCGCTGTGGCCGGCCTGGCAATGGCCGCGGAGCTCGGCGGCGGCGCCCTGTCTCGGAGCCGGGAGACGGGAGGGCGCACGTGCCCGGAATGGACGGGCGCCGCGCTCCGGCTGCTGGCTTCCGCTCTGCCGCGGCGCACGTCCGCGGACACGGAGAGCCGAGCGATGAGGCCCGCCGTCTGATGAGCGACGGATGAGCTCGTAACTCTTAATGGAACGGCGCTGCAGCTGGAAAGCGCCTCAGTTCTCCCAGAAACCTCACCAAGATGAACTGCGTCGTGGAGGCTTCGTTGCGGGTAGCAGCGATCCCAGAAACACCGGGCCATCGCTAATGCATTACCATGCACCGATCCGCGTGAAATGATACCTTATCCGACCAGCCGATGCGTGTCGTGCCAGACTTCGCCAGGCGTGCAGAGCTGGCAAAAACGACCCGGCGCCGTGCCCGCAGAATGGGCCAGCGGAAGAGCGGCGATACTGCGCCGTCTGCTATCGCCGGCACGTGCATGGACCAGCAGACCCGTCATGTTCGGCACGTTTCGCTAATGGCGGTTCAGAGGTGCCGTCAGTGAGGGGTGCAGCCTGTTTTCGGAAGGTTTTGAGCCTAAGGAAAACGCGAAAGCGCGTTCTCCGGCACCCTAGAACGGCGAAAATGAAAGGAGAGAAAAATGTTTAAAAAATGGCTCGAGTCTAACGGTGAGCAACATCTCGCCGGTCCAAATCACACTCGTAGATCTTCCCTCCCAGTTACGGGATCTTCAACTGACTTTAAATCTATTACAGAGGCTCTTTGGTGCTGCCGATGTTTTACGTGAGGGTTGAAATGCGTTGCGCTGCATCGGTGAAATGAAGCATATTGCATGCCCCATAGGGAAAAAGACATTTTGTAGCCATGGAATTCAGATTATGCACGATACCATTATCGAATGCTCGCTTAGCCCTAAGTACGGATTCCATGATCTGGAATCCTGATACCGACGTTACAGTGTTCCTACAGGTTCCGGGATCCACTCTTGGAATCCAGGCACATGCATGATGAAGACAATGAGCTTCATGCCATAGGCTCGAAGGCAGTGCCAAGATACCCCTGGTTTTATACAACACAGATACGGTTTACTGCTGACAAATGTTTTGTCAGATTGTTTTGTATTCGCATCAGGAAATCGGCGGATGCATCGATATAGAGATATAAAAATGTACTTGCTTAATGTTGGACTTCAGGGATTAAGCCTGCAAAATACTTTTTTGTTTTTTACTCTAGAACGCGATATCACCCGTCTTCTCCTGGTTCATTTCGATTTTACCGTATTTTTTCAGCACGGTGTAAATTTTTTGGAAAGTTCAGCATTGAAAGTGGGTAACCCACCCCACTTACCCACTTACCCACTTTCAAGCAGTTCTTCAGCATTGGTTCTAATTGGATACGCGCGCACACAGACGGTTCTTTCATTGTGGCAACGTTTAAATCCATAACGGCTCGGTCAAAAAGAGATAGGGCCCACGCATAAGGAACCGTTACAAAATGTGGACAACCAAGCTGTTAATTAATAAGTCGTTTTGGATAGGGGGGGGGGGGGGGTGAGCAAATAGCTGCTATTGGGTGTTACGACTTTCTCCTGGTTCTTGAAAAAGCAGCATTGGATATATTTTTGGCAGGCTCACCTCTTCTCTTCTAGCTCACCGGCATCCGGCGGTATTCATAATTAAGTCAATGTTCAGGTCATGTATGCCACATTTTCCCACTTTTGCCTTGATACCACGACCAATAACTCCCTGCATTTACTGTAGCGGTAGACCATGCCCCGGGACAGTGTGTCAGCATGTAAGCCGAGTGGGGCGATGATTCATGTCTGAGTGAGGAGAGCAGTCACGGCTCGGGGCGGTGCGTTACCCCTAGGCATGCCGACAGAGGTGCGTCACGGTGGCGCCGGCCAGTCGCACGCAGACATGGAGGAAAGGCCAACGATGTCGAGAGCAGTAGATAACAGTATTTCATGCACAGCATCGATCACCATCGTGGCAAAAACGTGCATTTTGACACAAACACGTAATAGACAATCCAGTGACAGCGACGAGAATCACATACATTTGACAGACGGATAAAAGGTGTTTGATCATGTCATTTGTTCCTGAACATTATGTGTGACCAACCTGAACAATGCGCCATGCTGAGGTAAGCGGCAATTTAACTCTGCGGTACCGGGAGTTTCAAGGTGCGTTCAATCCATAACCACCGGTCTCAAAGGCGGGGGCGTTTTCCCGCCGGGACCTGGAGAAGTACCAGAACTATATGATAATCAGAAAATGTCGGCATCAGATTGGAATGTGCTTCTGGGTACGAACATTCGTCCGAAGGATTGCACAATCAAGGATGGTCTTCTGTTCAGTCCAAGGTACTCCGTATATATGCACAACCTTGTACTTGGGTGTGCGCGTTTTTCCTGGTGCCATGGCACTAGCCTAAGACCAGGCACAGATTCCGACAGCATTGCCTTTGTTTCAGGCCCTGGTGATCTCTGCTGCCTCGGCCGCCACTAACAGCTCACTGGAGACACCACCGACAAATGCCACGTCAGAAAACGTACGTTTACTGATATTGGTGGCAGCGCCGACGGCACGGGACTGTCTACCCCTCCCCCCCCCCCTCCCACCTCCCCTCTCCCAACAACCGACGCTGAGGCTCCGCGCAGTCCGGGCTGGCTCACCACTGGCCTCAGGCATTGCTAGCCAGGAGCCGACAGGAGCCCTTCACCATAGCTCCTGGGCCGCGTTCCCCGTTACCAAACGCTGTCCACGAGTTGTAACCCATGCCGCCAGAGGTAAGTGCGTCGCGATAGTTCGTACGGCTTGGAGGATGGTCGGTTATGTATGACGTAGGCACTTGCGACGTCATAGATGGCAACTCTTGCCAATGTGCTTTGCCAATGAGAAACGCGGCCCTTCAGACCTAAGGCAAGGCGCTCCCTCATCACGTCACATCTTCCGGGAGTTCTGTCGGGCCCTGCCCTCTCCTCCCCCTCCCCAAAGGACTCGTGACGAGCCCCCACCCCTCTCAGGCGCGCTCACGACACGCCGCCGCCCCCAGGTGACGGAGGCAGCGCAGGGGCGGCGCCAGGGCCGGCAGTTTGGGCGGCGCCTCAGCTCGCAGCTGCAGACCCAGCTGAGCCTGCGCTCACCCTCCCGCGGTCCCGTCTACACGGCCTCGCGCTCCGTCGTGGCCGTCAGCGCCCCCACTCTGCCGCCGCTGCGCCACATAAGCCGCATCTCGCAGCCAGTCGGACCGCCCGCACGTTAGTGCCACTTTAGATAGCTGCTATTGCTCTTTGGCGCTTCTCTTGACGCGAGAGTCGGGTAGGCGGGTGATGTCACAGAGGCGAGTGACGTCATGTAGGTGGATGACGTCAAGTCTGCCGTATGCATGAGATGTGCGCGGCCATGCCCATCCCTCAACTGACTGCGATTCCCCGCAGATAGTCAAATCAAAGTGAAGTATCGCTAGGCGGTCCGCACAAAAAGTAGTACTACAGGCTCGAACGAGGTTTCAGAATTAGCCGATGGAATTCATATAGCCAGTCAAGAAGCATTCTAGAGTTGACAGGTCTATTCCGATTGGGAGCCTACATATGCCCAAATGCTGTTGCCGACTGCACGTACGTTAGTCGCTGATCTATCATATACGTCATTTCATTTACCTCGCGTATTGATTCAGGAACGACGGTGCCGACCTAACCGCGAGAGCGCGCATGTGGTGCGTCTCGACCCGACCTGACCCGACCCACAACGTGCGAAACGCGCGAACGCATGCAACGATCGATTATTGCAGTACGTACTTATTCTTGCCGGCAGCTGCAGTAAATCTGTAAAGAGGGGAATCTCGTTACCGCTGATATTGTTTCAGCTCTGCTGCAAGAGCTGGCGTTCGCCAATGCGAATGTGAACCCTCCCAGTCCCCCCGAGGTGGCGCCACCTGGACCCGTCCCGACAACAGCGCCACCTACGATATCGCCACCGGCGCCGCCACCCACAGAGGCGCCGAGCCAGGGCAACCTCCAGGCCTCGAGTACGTGTGAGGCGCGCAGCTACGGCTGTGCCACGGTAACTCGTGTGTGGGTGAAGTAAGGCATGCTGACGCAAAAAGTGCGAAAGAGCTGAATGGTCTCGCACAGACCGAGCCGTGCTCGACGCCATTCAAGTAGCCCCGGTCCCCCCTCCCACCCAGACATCACAGCTTTTCGTCCTCGGGGACATCCGTCCTCTGTCTTCGCAACACCAAACTGAGCGCATAAGGAATGGGCCGACGCTACCGGACTGGAGAACCCACACATCACCTCGTGCAGAGGACCCCCTCCGTCCTCAACTTGCACGAGCATGCCCCCACCGCCCATGCTTTGTCGTGACTCGCACCAGCCCTGAACCGGCACCAGCCCTGGCCGGCACCATCCCACACCACACGCCTAACCGGACGCCCTTCGCGCGGCAGACATCCGCTGCTTGCAGAGCACCTCTCGGGAGCAGCTGACGGCGCGCCTGCGTCTGCGCCGCCCGCTGGTGGCGCCACCTGTGCTGGCGCTGCGGCCGGCTGTCAACCCGCTGACGTCATCGGTGTGCACACTGACGTCGGCGGAGGAGGACCGGCTGCTGACGCTGAGCGTCACCAACCTGGAGGCCTGCGGCGTGGAGAGCTGCGTCCAGCCCAGCGGCGAGGTAAGAGTGGCTCTGCCGGCACCGTCGATCCCCGTATGAGGCGTCATTGGCAGGGGGCAGTGAGCCGCTGCCTCATCGGCGGCTGAGGGAAGGCTGCTTGTATCTGCGCCAGATCCACAGCAGCAGCTGTTGCTGCGGATGGTTGTCGTGGTGGCTGCTGTGTTGGTGTGGCCGGCAAAGTCCGCCCGCGTCAGCCGTCTGTTTTGACGACGTCACTGCCGCCGACAGCGCTGGCTCTGCCTGACAATCCGGTTCCCGGTGATCGCCGGGATTCGACTGCCCGAGGATGACGTAATCCAGATCCAGTGCCGGCCTCAGGACCCCACGCAGACCCGCGGCAAACAGCTGGCCGTCCCGACCGTCGGGTGAGGCGGCGGCGACGTCATACTGACGTCACATCTGCTGTGTCTGCTGTGTGGGACGGCCCGAGCCTGCTGTGTGACATCCGCTGTAATGGCGGCACGCTGTTCCACACGTGCTGTCTGCCGCATCTGCCTGGCCGGCGGACGGCGCGCTGTGTCTGTGCTATCCGCCGTGTTGACGCTGTCTGCTGGTGTCTGCCGTGCCGACATGTCACGTGTCTGCAACACTCACTGAGGTATCCGCCACACTGACACCGCGCCGTGCCTGCCACGTCGGCCAGCCTCGAGCTGCAGTCGCCGGCCCTGTTCAGCGGCGGCGAGCAGCAGTTTGAGTGCGAGATCGCCCTGTTCCGGCGTACGCCCGGCACCGGCATCTTCTCCACCGTGGTGCAGGCCGGCGACGCCGTCACGCTCGGGGAGGAGCTCCACCTGCGGGCCATTATCCGCAGCGACGATGGTCAGTGCCGATCACGCGGACCCGGCGTTACCCCGGACACACGGACCACCTGTTGTCGTTTATGACCCTAATGATAGTGGAGATGGCAGGGGCAGTAAGGGTGGGTGTGGCTTGCGCCGAATGCTGACATGTATATATTCTATGTATACACTAGATAGAGAGGGAGAGAGAGAGAGGAGAGAGAGAGAGAGAGAGAGAGGAGAGAGAGAGAGAGAGAGAGAGAGAGAGAGAGAGAGAGAGAGAGAGAGAGAGAGGAGAGAGAGAGAAGAGAGAGAGAGATGTATATCTATCTATCTATCTATGTATATATATATATATATCTATATATACTATATATATATATATATATATATATGTATATATATATATATATACCTACCCTCCTGACACCTCACAGGTTCGGGACAGGAGGGTAGCCCTCTTAAGCACCTTGCGGAGCAGGTAAATATACATATATATATATATATATATATATATATATATATATATATATATATATATATATATAAATATATTTACCTGCTCCGCAAGGTGCTTAAGAGGGCTACCTCCTGTCCCGAACCTGTGAGGTGTCCAGTGAAGGAGTGCATACGCCCCCATCCACCCCAAGCCCGTGCATGTCTCAGCTACTGGTGGCCGCACCTGTCGTGACCTGACCTGACCCGACCCCGTGACCTTGCCGTGCCGGCAGGCTGGAGGTTCAGCCGCCTGACGGACGTGCTTCTGCAGCGTGTGACCGCCGACGGCGTGGCCCAGACGGCCGACAGCGTATCTCTCGTCCTCAGCAGCGGCTGTCGCAACCCGGAGTTCAAGGTACCGCCGCCAGGGGCGCTCGTAGTTTCGTCGGGGTCCCGCGGCACGTCCAAAATGGTGTCTATGGTCAGACGCGACGCGCGGGGCGGTTTTAAACGTTGATGTTTAGCGTTCGCGATGAACGTTAACGGCCTAACTTTACCGATTTAGCGTTAACGAATTAACGCTAACGATTTAGCGCTGACGATTTGACTTCAACGAGTTAACGTTTACGGCGCCTAACGTTCACCGGCACACCACGCCGTGACCGGTGGTCTGATGTGCTTGTCGGTGGTCTTCTGTTCCGCCAGCAGCTCTGCCTGGGTGCTGTTGACCCCCACTGTTCCCCTGCCGCCGCCCGCCGGCAGCTCTGCCTGAGTGCTGTTGACCCGCTGTTCCCCTGCCGATGTCCCGACGCCAGCTCTGCCTGGGTGCTGTTGACCCCGCTATTCCCCTGCCGCCGTCCGCCGGCAGCTCTGCCTGAGTGCTGTCGACCCCGCTGTTCTGCCGCCGTCCGCCGGCAGCTCTGCCTGAGTGCTGTCGACCCCGCTGTTCCCCTGCCGCCGTCCGCCGGCAGCTCTGCCTGAGTGCTGTTGACCCCGCTATTCCCCTGCCGCCGTCCGCCGGCAGCTCTGCCTGAGTGCTGTGACCTCGCTGTCCTGCCGCCGTCCGCCGGCAGCTCTGCCTGAGTGTTGTTGACCCCGCTGTTCTGCCGCCGTCCGCCGGCAGCTCTGCCTGAGTGTTGTTGACCCCGCTGTTCTCCTGCTGCCGTCCGCCGGCAGCTCTGCCTGAGTGCTGTTGACCCGCTGTTCTCCTGCTGCCGTCCGCCGGCAGCTCTGCCTGAGTGCTGTTGACCCGCTGTTCTGGCCGCCGTTCGCCGGCAGCTCTGCCTGGGTGCTGCTGACCCGCTGTTCCCCTGCCGCCGTCCCGACGCCGCGGCACCAGCGCCGCTGACCGCTCCTCTCGTTCCAGATCGTGGCGCCGGCCCAGCCGACTCGCCACCAGCAGAACCAGCTGATCAGCAACTTCGCCTTCCGCGTGTTCGCCTTCCAGGGCATGGGGTCCGGGGACCGGCTGCAGGTGTCGGCCGGCGTCACAGGCTGCGTCGAGGCCATCGACTGTGCCCCGGTACGGAGGAGAGGGGGGGGGGGGGGCTCCTTCGCTGGAACGGGGGTGTGGAGAGGGTGCCCCACGCAATGAAGGGTGGAGAGTGCTGAGTGGCAAAGCTGGAAAAAGATGTCGGAAAACCTCCCAGACGAGGTGCTTTTCCACTGGGAAATCGTAGTCATGAGCATTTCAATGCAAGCTATTGTGGCCGCCGCGGTGCAGTATTCTCCACCCATGCACACAACGCAGTGCAAGGTATATTCTGCGTTTGGTGTGTCAAACACGCTCATATCAATCTTACCTCAGCCGGCGTCCATGAATATTGACCAGACTTGTCCGAGCGATCGGTGGAGAGATGCTGGAGCTGGCCGACCCTCTCCACCTGCCCAGCTTGTCATACGTGGACGCTGATGTGCGATGATTCAGCCCTCTCACCACAGACAGGCGTCGGTGTTGTCTGGCCTGACCAACCTGTCATGACCTGACCCAACCTGACGTGACCCGACCTGCCTTTACCTGACCTGATCTGACCTGACCTGGCCAACCTCATCTAACCTGATCTAACCTGACTTGATCTCACCTGACCTAACCTGACCTGACCTGACCTGACCTGACCGATGCCCTCAGACGGCCTGTCCGGACGGAGGGCAGGGCTACGGGCGCCGCCGCCGCCGTGAGGCCCGGGTCAGCAACAGCACCGACTGGCGGCGTGACCTGGCCTTCAGCGTGCTGCTGCCGGACGTCCCACCAGGTCAGTGTCCGCCGCCGCGACCAGGCCCACCCCGGGTACGGTTCGAACCTGTGACGTCACGGCCGGCGGCCGGCTATCTCCCTGAACGATACGGCGAAGCATGGTGCTCGATCCGTGAGACGTTCTGCGCGGTTAGACACCGTATCGCAAATTTTCTGTTCCCATAAGGGGAAGGATTCAGGAAACAATAAATCATTGAAAACGTACAAGGATCTTTGATGTGGCCGGGAGACAGAGAAGGTGATGAGATCTTTTTAAGGTTAGGATGTCGTGTCTATCAGCGATTAGATGGCTTAGGAATAACCACATGAGGGGTGGTGATGTGATGTCAGAGATAAGTGACGTCACGGATGCGCCAGGTCAAATGACGAGCGCCTCACGGGCCGCGTGATATCTGTGACGTCTGTGGTGACTCCGTGACGGGTGTCGTGACGCGGCCGGCCGTGTTCCAGTGCGCCCGCAGCTGCCACCGCCGATGCCGCCGCCGCCGCCGCCGCCGGCCGCCGGCTGCCCCGCCTTCCTGCTGGGATCACTGATCGCCGCGCTGGCCTGCTGCCTGCTGCTGCTCGGCTGCTTCGTCTGCGTGCTGAACGTGCGTCGACGCCAGCAGCTGAAGTCGCCGCCAGTCCCGCAAAACCGATCCCCAGTTGATGGTCTCCCGGCTGGAGCCGCGCCACGGCTGCGAGGGCGGCACCGTCGCGCATCTCCAGTGTGCCTGGTCGCCGACAGATGGCTCCGCCGGCTGCGTGGGGCGAGTGGGCTGGCTGCCGGCAGTTGGGCCGGTGGAGCGAGCGGTCACGGCGCCGCGCGGACGCTGCACCGCGCGCCAGCTGAAACGCCGCCGCGCGGACGTGCGCCGAAGCTTCAGTGCCGGCAGTCTCCGCTGCGCCTGCGCGCCACGTCGTGATGGCGACTCGATTGTGACGAATTCGAACGTCAGCATTGTCAGAGTGCCCGCGAAGGAGAATATTTACTCTGAGCCGGCTTCCAAGTGTGATGTGGCCCCCACAATGGTTTAAGAGACAGTAACCGGACCACACAAACTTCGCAGCCCTGCATTTGCCCCAGCGAAAAAAGCAGTGATGTGGACATTGCTGCGCGCCGCTCAGGAATAACTGAAATGAATAATCGTCCAGACGGACCAATGCGTGCAAGCAACGACGGCCCGCTGAATCAGGTTTGGCGGTGTCAGCGAGGCCGTTAATTGACTAACACTAACGAAATACATCACACTTGGCCCTTGATCGTCTGTTCTTTCCGCTGGGTCTCCGCTTTAGCCGCCCTGAGGTAAAAATACGCGTGGATGATGCTGTGGACTGATAGTTCCGGTCGCAAATCTCCGGGCGCGATTCCTTATGTGACCTACAGCCAGCTCTTTAAGCCCCTATGCCCTCAAATCGGGTCCTTGATCGTCGGTCCTGGTGGGCCCTCCAAACTTTCCGGGCCTCCTCGAACACCGCCCTTTTTCGACTCGGGGTCCCTGCGAACACAGGACCTCATGTGGAGCGCTGTGGGCCCCTGATAGATGCGGGGGTACCGGCCAGTGTAAAACGCTGACTCGGCTTTTTCCTGCTTGGTAAATGGACCTTCAGGTGTATGCCGCCACGGAGCCAACTGTGCGCTACTGGCGGTACCTGACCGACATATAGGACCTAATCAACTCAGGGGCAACCCTGATCAGCGCTCAGGGCTCTCTGTCTGGCATTGGAGTGCCCGGCCCTTCGCCCCTGAATACGACCTCCTGCCGGCCTTGTTAGTCTTTCACCCTATGCCCCGTTCCCTGCCCGCGCCACCGGCAGGCCCTATCAAACGATTACGTTTTTCGTAAACATGGGCCCAAACGTCATGACTGTTATTCGGAAACGGGTATCATGAATGTCATGTTCGGAATAGGAAGACGACATATCGAGATTACCCTTAAAAATGTAGTGAAAAAGACTGGTAAGTTCACGCAATACACTCTCATCTTGTTCAAAGGCGTAATGCTTTCCATAGTTGGCACCCTTTCCAGTATCGCATGACTCTTTCAAATAAGCGGTTTGATAGGGGTCAGATCATTTTCTTATCATGCTAAGTGCAACAGAAATGTTCAAGTGAAAAGCGTACCTTTATGGCTTGACTTCACACTTCAAGCAACCTGTACTGTACCTGTACCTGTAGGGTCCAAATCTTGGACAGTAAAACAATTTTGGCCCTACCCGATACTCAAAACGTAAGTCTCAAGTCTCTAAAACGTAAGTCTCTCAAAACGTAAGTCAAAGGCAGTCTCAGTCTATAAGTGTTACACTTAAAGTGTAAGTATTGCGTGGTATGCATTGCGTATTTCAGTTGGCGTGGACAAAAGGCTTGGGCCAGGCTCAGCCCTGCCTAGGTTTCGCCTGACTTTGGGTAGCCACGGCCCAGCTGGCGCCCTGTTCGAGCCCAGCCGAGGCCGTGTCAGAGCCCATCGCGTGCCGCGCCCTGCTGCGCAGCATTCTCGCTGGGCCCATGCCTGACATGGGCTTTTTGCCAATTGGTATGCAGCGCGCGTACCAGATGGAGCCGGACAGACTACCAGATGGAGCCCAGCGCCTGACAGGCCACGCCGATACACCTTAAGCTGCGTCCCAGCTGGAGCCCAGCGCCTGCCAGGCCACGCCGATGCCCGATATTTGCCACACATGCGCCCAGCTGGTGCTCAGCTAAGCCACAGGTAGACTGCGACCAGGCCGTCGCCCACCAAAAAAAGTTACGAGGGCCACGGCCGGGCATGTGTCTGCCGAGGGCCACGGCATGTGTCTGCCGCCCGCCCGAAGCCATGATAAAATGCTGCCGGGGCATTATGTTAAGGTGATTGTGACATCAGCGGTTCTGTGTCATGTGCCCAGATATTTTGCTTAGAAATTACCTCTGGCCATCTCGCTTTCGTATACGACATGCCCTCCCCGGATTTCTTTAGAGCTTCAAAGTATATGTGAACAATGTTGGCGATTACGTTGAAATTCTTGCGTGAAGTAAATTATCCGTTTCACGAAGGAAGCATGCAGTATGGAGCTAGTTACTGCCATATCGTCCCATGGACGCTGCATTTGTCTTTCTTTCCCATCACGGCCATGTTAAATGTTGCGACACTGAAAAGAGGAGTGGCATCTGGGGAGCATCTGCCCTCGCCAGGCGCGGTGTGGACAAAGAGTGGTTCTCATACAACTTATGAGCTGTCCCTGTGATATCCGTGAATGCTGGCATTTTGCCATTCCCAGCTGGTGACCCCTTTTTAACCAGAGCTAATGACCCTGTTCGCGTGCCGTATGGGATGCGAGGTGTAGGGACCACTCGACCGTCGTCACGCCCTTTGCCTTGCAATTAGTCATTAGGTAGGTACCAATCTGCTGGGAGCCAGAAGACAGTGATTCTTGGGACCAATAAAAACAAGCCTGAAAATGAAGAAGCAGTTCTTTCGGGTCAAGCAGCTTGCAGACCAGGCCATTGCCAGGTAGGTCCACCCTGCCACCGGCCATAGGTCATTGCACTGGCCATTGCCAATGTCAGTTGAATAAATTTCCATCAGCTAGTGGAATTTCAAAAAAGTTGTTTAGCTAGTGGAATTGTGTAACAATATTCCTTTTGGGGTTTTCTGTCACTTTGATGTGTATCAGGTTTCTAAGTTGGACTTGTTAAGATTGTATGCCATGAAATATCTGCAAATCATGCAATAATTAATGGATTTCATTTCAGTGAAATCATTTTCTTAATTTGCATGCATGTATGGAGTTGCCAAAACTGCATGCACCTAAGAGATAAAGCAACTTGTATAATAGGAATGTTATGATATCTTTTTCATGTGATAGTCTGTGCTGTGGTGCATCATCAGTTGCACATGATCATTTAGTGACCATTCCTATTGTTCCATTGGTATTAATATCCAGTCCAATTATTATTTATCTGTGATTTTGATCTCAATCCTTGTTGCACTTTTACCCCTGGTTGCTTTTATGGTCATTACTCTTCTTCACACTTAATAAAATGGTCAACAGCATGACAGCATGCTTCATGTTGTCTTGATGTAAAAGGCTGTGAAGGCAGGATTCAAGGTATACAAATTGGGTACATTTGGTGGCACAAGCAGCAAGATGCTCAATTGATGCAAGGTGCTCAATTCATCACATTGGTGGGGTTTATACTGATATTGATCAAGGTTCACCCATTACTTAAAGAGATGTGCCTGAGGTTTGACATATAAAGACAAATTCTGCACCACTCATTCTTCTCATCTTGCAGTTGGCCAGTATCTGATATATTTGAAGAGTGACAATTTAATATCTTTGAAAAGTGCCAAGCCTAACTAAAACAACAACAGAGCTGAGTCTACTGTATAGATTGCATGATAAGGTTCACCCATTACTAAGTGATGCACTTCCATAATAGGGCATGTTACCTATGGTGTGAAAGCATGACATGGTAGTCTTGAACATTGCATAGAATGCAACACCATGTGTCACCACACTGCTGCTAAAATTGTTATGCCACACACTTCAGTCTGAGCTATTTGTTTGCCAATCTCACAGTGTCACTGCTATTTGTGAATGTTAACAGGCATAAACAATGACTGCTGTCAACCATCAAGAGTTAAAGAGGATGTTTAACAGATCAAACAGGCTTAGGCCAAGCAAATCAGAGCCCAACACAGGGGTATCTCCAGGATGTGATGTGAAGGGTAGGGACACTAGGAGTGAATGAAAAATGGTGGGACTGGTCATTTGGGGGCCAGGGTCTTAAAAAGCATGGTCATCACTACTGCCAGGGTGAGGTCAGCATGCTGAAGTTCATTGAGATGAGTGCCAGGGAGGCCATTATTTATTGATGCTATCACACCTCTGTCCTCCACCATCTGTGCCCCCTCCCCCTACTTCCTTTGCTGTTAAGGCACTGCCCCTTCACCCAGAACCCCTCACATCCTTACCTGCTCACCTGATGGGCCATACCTGTGCTGCACAAGTGCTGGGTCGATCACTATTGAGCTCAATGTTGATTGGTTGATCCTGAGCAAGGGGGGCAGCAACAGCTGGTGGACCCTAAGACATGTGCGCAATATCCTGAAAAAATCAGTCTTCTTGGCACCTGAATGACCAAACTTTATTTCGCTTGTTGGGAGGAGAGGGAGGGCATCTCAGTTCTGCCAGGACCACTTAAGTGAGACTTGTCATCCAAAACCTGTTTGAGGGAAGAGTTTGGCAAATATTATGTATGTCTTGCTGCTGGTAATTGCATCTAATCAGCAGGTTTTGTGGTCACCTGAATGAAAGATTTTCTAGTTTGATTACCTAGTGCAAAGATTTTCTAAGAAGAAAGAAAGATTTTCTAGTTCCATTACCTAGTACCATTACCTATTTTCTAGTTCCATTACCTAGTTTCTAGTTCCATTACCTAGTTTTCTAGTTTCATTACCATGTGCAAAACAAGGGTGGGCCCCGATTTGAAATTGATCTGAAATTGAGCATCCAGTTTTTCCAATTTATCTATATCATTATGATATAATACATTGCATGGTATATTAATCCAATTTATTTGAAACACAGCACAAGCAGCCAGCATTCTGGACCCGGGAGGGACAGCCTCGTGGTGGGCGGAAAAATCAATTTTCGCAGCCGTAGCCCCAAGGTCTCTTAACGGTATGCTCATGCAGACATCCACGCTGTTCTGTGATGGCTGTGCAAGCCATGTGTACCCCATTTCATTGCCGTGGATGTGGATGGAAAACGCAATATGCCAGGTGTGTTGGTGGCCTTGCCAACTTCCACGGAGGTGGGCCAATTTTTTATTGTGGTGTAAAAATGTTTGTTCCTGCAGCAGTGCGACACCGAGCTTTGTCACGATGGTTGTGGTGGTTGTGTGGTTGTGTGGAACATGTGTGGTTGTTGATGTGGCATTAAACAGTCAGGAGTCGCTTTCATCGAACAAAATGTGCCAATTTGTGGTGAAACCACCACCACGTGGATGGCACCACGCGTATTTGTGACCTTGGGCCAATTGACTGGGTGGTACGCCTGCATATCTGGCGATCAGCCGCCTGGAGCGGACCAGGTGGAGCACACTCACGAGCGCGTTAAGCGCTGATAGGTAAGGGTAAGCCTGACCCTCGCAGGGTCAGGCTTACCCTTACCTATCCGCGCTTGACCTTTGCGAGGGTAAGCCTGACCCTCCAAAGTCAGCCGCCCTCTGGATTTTGCCAGGTGTGTGTCCACGGCTGACCGCCAGGTGGCAGGGCTCCGATTCGTGTAAAGCGCCCAGCCGCCAGTCAGGCTTAGCCGACGCCCCTCCCCCCCCCCCCCCCCCCCCCCCCTCCCCCCGAGCCCCTAGTGACGCCGCAGCTGCACGTGGTGTAGTGAGCTTATGCCCGCCAGCGTCATGAACAAAGCGCGAACAAAAGCGCGCCACGAGCAAGTGCTTCCGTGACGCTAATCACCTCACGCCGTTGAGACTACTCCAAGCCTCCGAGCGTTCCCCACCCCTGGCGCAGACGGCCGCGTCTTAACATCGCACCGCGAGAAAAGGCGCCCTGACAGCCGCGTCCGTCAGGCTGGGGGGGGGGGGAGGGGGGGGGGGGGCGTTATCCGTGGAGCTGCGTTGCGATGACGTTCCTCGTCTCGCGGGTTCAGAGTGCAAACAGTGAACTGCTGCGCACGTGCATTGGGCGGCGAGCCACGGTGGCAGTCCGGTCGGAGAAGACATCTATAAAACAGTGCACTGTCGACATGCAACGAGCAAACGCCTTTGACGATGTCCACCACACGGACCACGTCCGAGCCATTTCACGGGAATACGCCTGTATGCATCAAGCTCCAGACGGGAATCCCTAGCGATGCCCAGCGAAAGCTCGCGGTCGCAGTGATAATGCTCTGTGGGCGGGCGGGCGGGCACTGGTTCCAGGTGTACACCACGGACTGTGCTCTGTAGTCACTCGACGGTCAGATACGGACGGTTGGTAGTGGACGGTCGGTAGCGGACGGTCGGTGGCGGACGGTCGGTAGCGGACGGTCAGAATGCGGACGGTCAGATGCGGACGGTTGGTTTCCGACGGCCGGTAGCGGTCGGTAGCGGACGGTCAGTGGCGGACGGTCAGTGGAGGTCACATCAACGTTGGCGTGCTGATCTGGTCGCCGGGATGAGGCGGCCAGGGTATGAATCGACGGCTTGACACAGTGATCGGGTCTTTGGTGACCCGGTGATCGGGTCTTTGGTGACCCGTTGATCAGATCTTTGGTGACCCGTTGATCAGATCTTTGGTGACCCGTTGATCAGATCTTTGGTGACCCGTTGATCGGATCTGTGGTGGCCCGGTGATCAAATCCGTGGTGACCCGTTGATCAGATCTGTGGTGACCCGTTGATCAGATCTTTGGTGACCCGTCGATCAGATCTGTGGTGGTCCGGTGATCAGATCCGTGGTGACCCGGTGATCGGGTCTCGGATCGTCTGGCGATCACACCGCTCATGCTCTGGAGAGCGGACCACCAGCGGTCGGGTGCCTGGATTGCTGCTGCGCTCGTGCAGCCCGTCACTAGCAGCGTGCTCTGCTGATACGGTCGCCGGCCGCCGCTGGTGTTTGCCCCGGACGCCGGTTGGCCGGATGGGTTACGCCGGTCGCAGCCGGCGCGCTGTGACTCATCACGCCAGCGCGGCGGGAGCGGGGGGAGGGGGGGGGCGAGCGAGGGGGAGGGCGGGCGGCAGGGGGCGGCGTCAGTCCACGCACGCGGGGCCAGGCGAGCGGTCCTGGCAGCGAGGAAAGACGGCAACTCATCAGCTCGCGATGGACCCAGCACCTCCTCGTCGCCGTCCTCGCTGCTCGCTCCCTGCGAGTGGACGGGAGAAGTCCGCAGCGGGAGCCGCACGGTCGCCCGCGCGCCGCCGGCGGCCGCGGCCGCGCCGACAGCGCCCCGGCCGCGGCCGTGACCCGCTCGCGTGCCGCCAGGACTCCACTGACGCAGGGGGTCGGCCCGCTTATGCAGCATGGTGGCGCCCCGCGGGCGCCATGTGGGTCAGACGGTGTCACTTTCGCGCCGGCTGCGGGCGCGGCACGCCAGCGCGTGTCCGGGCCGGTCTGGAGTTCAGATGGAAATAACTCGAACGCAAAACGGAGCTGGTCCAAACGTGCCACGGCACGAAGTTTCTGATGCCTCGATCTCTTGGTGACGACTTGGTTTGCGGCATGTTGGGGCGATACGGTTTGCGGCTTAACGTGGGCTGTTTTTGTTACGAGACTTTACAACACATAGCACATTGTTCTATATAAGAGCGTGTTATACTGATCTTGATCCAGGACTGCGCATCACACTCCGAAGCTTGTTGTTCATTGTCGTTGGGCCACCCGTAAACAGGCCGCTTTGCCGGACGCTTTTTCTATATGCTGTTTCACAATTTTGGCTAACCGCCCGAAACCAGACTCCGGGCTTGTCCCGTCCAGATTGCGTTCTGGCCTCAGCTGCAGTCCGTACCCGCCACGCTGCATCCCTGCCGCGGTGATGTTTTGTCAATAATTTTTACTTTTTCGCTGCCCTTTGGTTACCGTCCCGCCACTGTCGCTATTTCCGTTATTGCATGTAATTGTCTTCGTCCAAGCCGTGCCCCCCGTCCCCGACCCCGGCTCCGGCCCCGGTCCTGCCCCAGCCCCGCCCAGCCCCGGCCCCGGCCCCGGCCCCGGCCCCGGCCCCGGCCCCGGCCCCGGCCCCATCTCCGTTCTCGTTCTCGTCCTCGTCCTCGTACTCCTTCCGGCGCCCCCCCCCCCTCAGCTGCAAAACAGAGCAGAGCAGGGCAGCCGGCCCGTCGCCAGCGGTGCATGACGCCCGACGCACCCCCGGAAGGCCCCACCCCGCGCGCCACGCCCGGCGCCCGCCGACCGGCTGGCGGCGCACTGTCGGCGCCGCCGCCGCCGTCGCGTCCAGTGTCGTCCGCAGGCGGCGGCGTGAAGCTCGGAGCGAGCGAGCGGGGCGAGCGGTGCGCGCGGCGCGTGCGGACTGGTCAGACTCGGCGACCGAGCTCGGGCGCCGCACGCCGAGCCGCCGGCCTGGCGCTCTGTGTCGGTGACGGTGACGGTGACGGACGCCGCGCGGGGCGCGACCGGCTGCGGGCCCGGTGTCGTCACTAGTGCGTGCGAGGGGGGATGATCGCGGGGGGGGGAGACAAAGCGAACGGCCGCTCACTGCCGGCCGACACTGATTGGCGGAATCAGTTCGACCTCCGAGAGCCGGATGGCGAGCGCCGCCGCTCCAGCTGCTGTCCTCAGTGTGGGCTGCGTGCCGCTCGGTGAGCTGTGAGCTCTCTGGTGGCGACCCGCGAGCGCCGCGTCAGCTGTGATCCCCCACGATCCACCAGCGGCTTGTGAGCAGTGCCGAGGCACCCCGCCGCTTCCGTCGTCGACTGCGTCGGCGCTCCGCGTGGACGCCGCTGCTTCTCGGTGCCTCGACCTGCGGCCCCGGGCGGCGATGGCGGAAGTCGCGGCTGCCGGCCTGGTCGCCGAGCGGCAGCCAGCTGTGCGACCCTAGCGGCCAGGCGCAGCGCCGCGTGCAGGCCATGTACAGCGCGCGCCGGCTCAGCGCCGTGGCGGCCGCCAGCGCGCGCAGGGCGCCCCCTGCCGGCCGGCGGCGGGCCCGCGGCCCCTCCACCGCGCCTGAGCCTCTCCCCGCACCCGCCGCCGGGCGCGAGCCGCAGGAGGAGGAGGTGGATGAGGACGGGCTGTGGATGTCGCCGTGCGCAGGTGGCGCCCTGGCGGCGGCCTCGAGCGCCGGCTCCGGCCGCTTGGCGTCGTCCCGCCCACCGTCGCCGGCGGTTCGCCGCCTCCGCCCGCCGCTCGTGGCGGCCGCCACCAGCCGCCTCCTCGGCGTCGAGCGTCGCCGGCGCCGGCCGCTGTTCGCCGCTGCGGGATGTGGACGCGGCTTCTCCGGCCGCGGCGTCCGCGAACGCCGCGGTGTGGGCGGCGGCGGCGGCGGCGCGGCCGCCGCCTCGTCCGCGTCGGCGGCCGTCTGACACGGCTGCTGCCACCGCCGCTCGGCCCGCAGCGAGGCCCGGGTCGCACCCGTCGCCTCGGGTCCGATCAAGGGCCGCGGTTCTGGCCGGTCGCGGCCGCGTGCGGCCGACGGCCGGGCGACGCACCCGGCGGCGGCGGCGGAGCAGCGCCTCGCGATCGGCGAAGCCTCGCCCGTCTTGGCCCGGCGACTGGGAGGAGCCCCGGAGGCGGCCGCACCTCGCCCGCGGACGGTGATTGGCGGTGATGGTGATGACCAGAACGCCGCCGTGTTCCCCGGCGGCGACGAGCCGTCGGGAGCCGCGACTTGCGGGGCCGGAACATTCAGCCCGCGCACCGACAGTGTGGCGGCGCCGCCTTGCGGACTGGACGCGGTGCCGGCGGCTACAGTGGCGCCGCCGCCGCCGGCTGCAGCCGCCCGACTTCTGGCGCGGCTTCAAGGAGTACGGCGTCGGCTCGCTGCAGCGCGGCGTCCGGCTACTGCGCATGCGCGGCTCGACGGCGGAGGACGCCGGCTCGCTCGGCTGCTCAGGAGTCAGCCCGACCAGCAGTGCCAGCGGCGTTTCCGAACCCGGCTCGTGGCGCTGCCTGCCGGCCGACTGGTGGCGCCGCCTGCGAGACTCGGTCTCCTGCTGCGCCCCGAGCCCCGAGCTCAAGCGGCGCCGGCGCATCCACACGCGGTCCGGCCCTGTGCGTGTGTGAGCAGTGCGCGCCGGCGCCCGCCAGCGCCTGCCCGGCCGCCCGCCGCCGGCGCCACCCCGCGAGCCGCGGCGCGGGACGTGCTCTGAACGGCTGGCCGCGCTGCCGCCCGGCTGCGCGCGGGCGCGAGCGGACTGCGGGCGCCGCTCGCCCGGATTGGCCGCAGTGTCCGATCCGCAGAGCAGCAGGTACCGATGACCCCTCCCCTCCCCCCGGGGCGGGAGCCCCGCCCCAGAGTGGGGCCGGCGCGGCGGACGGCGCCGGACGCGGAGGGTCCGCGTGACCGCACGCGGGTGGGTGGGCCTCCAGGAAGCCGCCTCGACGCGTCCGGGACCGGATACGGGCGTTGAATTGGTCAGGCGTTGGTGGTTCGCTGGTGTGTGTGGGGAGGGGGGGGGGGGCTGGAGAGAGGCAGAACTACACGAGCCGTCTGGTTTGTCACTAGGTGTGGCGGGCAGTGAGTGCATCTCCCCCGTTTTAAAATGGCAAAGTTACGCACTCAAACGCTTATGACTGCGATGCAAACTCAAACAAACAAACGTTATTTTTTTCTGCAGACGCACTGCGATGTACCACAGTGCCCCCCCCCCCCCCCCGTCTTCCCGGCTTTTCGAAAACGCGTCACTAGGAGACCTTAATGATGTGCCCACCTCGTAGACTTAATCCATCCTTGGAAACCTCTTGAGAGATACTGGTCAGGTTGATTTGACCTCAGAATGAATTCGGGAGACGGTTGAATGAAGAAACGAAAATAAGAGAAGTGGAAATATAATGAACAGCAACACAAAGATGAAAACAATTAATTCACCGTCAGGGCATGCATGTTAAGCGGGCCCGTAACAAGTCATAATCGTTCCCCAATGCTGCCGGCGGAGTATGCGGTGTTCGTGTAAGTTTTTGCTGTCGCTGGATTTTAAGGGCGCGGCAACTGCCCTGGTTTTATGCGCCGTGTGGGTTTCAGAAGTCCGTATCTGTACAGCCATGCGGTAGTCGCGTACTTCAGTATGTAGATACTGACAAACTCGTCCGTGTCGTGCCCCATGTGCACATGTGTACCACCGCTGACCCGGACTGCACTCTGTGCCTCTGGGCTCGGGCGCTAATTGGTGATAATCTGATGAGTCTTTGTGCCGCTGCTGACCGGAGAAGGGGGGGGGGGGGCTCTTCGCATGTCTGGGCTCAGCAGCTGTCGGGGCATTCTGCCCCAGGCGTTTTGCGCCGCCCGTCTCCTGCGCTCTACACCGCTGCTGCCCAGACTTCCCTGCACCACAGGGCGGAGATGCTGACCGTGCCCCCCCTCCCCGTCTCTACACCACTGCTGACCCAGACTCCCCTGCACCCCAGGGCAGAGATGCTGGACGGGTGGCCGTATTCTCCTCCCCGTCTCTACACCCGCTGCTGACCCAGACCTCCCCTGCACCCCAGGGCGGAGATGTTGACCGTGTCCCCCCCCCCTCCCGTCTCTACTCCACTGCTGATCCAGACCTCCCCTGCACCCCAGGGCGGAGATGCTGACCGTGCCCCCCTCCCCGTCTCTACACCACTGCTGACCCAGACCGCCCCTGCACCCCAGGGCGGAGATGCTGACCGTGCCCCCCTCCACGTCTCTACACCACTGCTGACCCAGACCTCCCCTGCACCCCAGGGCGGAGATGCTGACCGTGCCCCCCTCCCCGTCTCTACACCACTGCTGACCCAGACCTCCCCTGCACCCCAGGACGGAGATGCTGACCGTGTTCCCCTCCCCGTTTCTACACCGCTGCTGACCCAAACCTCCTCTGCACCCCAGGGCGGAGCGCTCCGAGGTGATGACCGAGGACCTGGCCGCGTCCGAGCGGCGCGTGGAGGCGCTCCGCGGCAGTTGCGGCGTCATCAGGAAGCGGCTCTCCGAGTCCCTCTCCGGCCACGGCTCCGACGATGCCGGCAAGCGGCTGGTGAGTGAGGCGCCGGCTCCCGCTCGCCGGTCGGCCCAGAGCGGTCCGCCGCCGCCTGGCGGACCGCCGTGTCGGCACGCGGCGGGTGCTGGCCAGAAGGGCAGGCCGGATGTCAGAGCGTTTGGAAGGCCTGGCGAGATGACGGATGTATTGCAAATGGTCAGAAGGGTTTTTGCGCGCCATGCGACTAGGCCGGTCGGTGCGCCCTGAAGCCCAAATCGTCATCGTCACCACGGTGTCACGCGTGACTTTAAGACACATGCAATGGTCACACACGTGCAACACATGCAACTCGCAAGGCACGTGCAGCTTTTTGTGACGGGTGTTTTGCGTCCTTCAGCCCGTCAGCTGCTTATTTTTACCCGGAGAGAGCGTTCTTGCCCGAGACTCGCAGCCTCGGCTGGTTGTCATAGCAACGTCGGCGTTGAGCGCCTGGCCTCGCCGAGCGTCTGAGGTTTCGCCCCGTCGCTTTCAGCGTAAGATCCCGGAGCACCAGCTGGGATCGGCCATGAAGGAGGGCGCCGGCCTGGTCGGGGTGGAGACGCTGGTCGGGTAAGACGCCGCCGGCGCGCGGACGGGCGGGTGCGGCCGAGGTCGCGGCCACGGCGGCGTCAGGGGAAGGGCGTGACGACGCCCGGATGCTGGTCAGCGGCGGCCGTGGTCTCGAGGTGTTCTCTCAGTGCTCGTTGCTCCTGCGTGTTATTACTGGCTTTGCGGGTGGCCACTGCTCTCGTCAGTGATGCAGCCTGTCGGTTTATCGCGACTCGGGTGACCCAGTGACCCGATGACTCAGTGGCTCCGTGACTCCGTATCTATCGGGAGAACCTTCTTGCCCTCATGGGATGAGTGGCAGACTGGCCGCATGCCGGTACGTATCGCGTGGGCCCCGCCCCGCCGCCCGGCTCTGGCGTACAGTTCGCTGTCGGCCCTTTAGAACAGAGCCGTAAACACCGCAGAGCCGTAGAGCGTGCTTCCGGCCTACGCGTCCTCATCTTGTCGGCCGCCCCGTCCCGCCGTCTCTCACCGCGCCGCCGCCGATTCTTACCGCGCCGCCCCGCCGTCTCACCGCTCCGCCCGCCGCCGCTTTCGCGCAGAGCCATCATGAACGAGTGCGGCGAGGCGCAGACGAAGCTGGCGCAGGAGCGCCTCAGCTACGAGCAGGAGCTGGAGATGACCGTGCTGGACAACAGCGTGCTGCAGCAGCTGCTGGACACCGACATCCCCAACGTCACCAAGCTGCGCAAGACGCTGTCCAAGCTCACGCTGGACATGGACGCCACCCGGAGCAGGTGCGTGAGGACGGACGGGTGCTGTCGCGCGGCGGCGGAACGCTGAGAGGTGACGTCGTGGTTGGACACGCGGGCCGGCCAAGCAGACGCGTCGAACTGTGCGAGTGTTCGGTTGGTTGTCGACGCGCGTTTGCTGCTCTGGCGTTGAGCGACGCGGCCTGCCGTGCGTGTTTACGCGCCGCTGGGAGCGCGCCTATGTGCGCTGCTGCTCGACTCAGTTCATTTCAAGGTCAGTTTATTAGGAGTCATTCTGAGCGGTGGGTTACTGTCGATTCCAGTCAAGCACATGACAACACATAAATACAAAGCAAAGCATTGGCATGCTCGACAATTCGAAGGCCGTCAATAGGGACATACACACTCACAACATTGTCATACGTTTGTTGTCTCCAAGTCCCGTTCAGCTTTGAAATACAACTAGCCGTGCTGTGCTGTGCTGTGCCGTGCTGTACTGTACTGTGCTGTTCTGTGCCGTGCTGTGCTGTGTTGTGATGTGCTGCTGTGCTGTGCTGTGCTGTGCTGTTCTGTTCTGTGCTGTGCTGTGCTGAACTGTACTGTACTATTCCGTTCTGTTCTGACTGTGTTGGTTGTGCTGGCTGTGTGCCGCTGTGAGCCGCTGTGAGCCGCTGTGAGCCGCGTCCGGCCGCCGTCACAGCCGGGGTGGCGCCGCCGCAGGTACCAGAGCGCCCAGCGTCACACGGTGGGCGCCGTGACGGCGTCCGGCCAGCAGCTGAGGGACGAGCTGGAGGCGGCCCAGGTCAAGGTCGAGCAGCACCGGGTACGTGGTCTGACGGGGCAGCCGGGAGTGGCCTGGCATCGGGGGGTTGAGAAGAGCCCGAGGCGGCGTCGGTCAGTGTCGACAGCTCCTAGGCGTGGCGGGAGGGGGGGGGGGGAGGGGCGGGGGGACGGGTCGTCTCGACACGGGCCGCGCGCGCTCTGATCGTCTCTCGGCGGCCAGCAGCGCCTCCAGCGGCCCGTACTGAGGACCGCTGACGATCCGTACCTGTCAGTTCGAATGAGAGACAGCGAGTGGCTGGAGCTGCTTGTGCTGACGGCCCCCCGCGGCTCCGAGGCGCGGTGTTATGCGGCAGACGTGCCTAACTCTGCTGGTAGCGTTGCTTCGCTGCCGTCTCCGCTAGCGCTGCTCCGCTGGGGCAGCTGAGAAGGCAGTTTTCGGGGTAGGAGCTGACCGCGCCGTGGAGTTGCCGGAGTGCGCAGATTTTCTTACACAGATCATGGCCTTATACTTGATAGCCTCGCACAAGAACCCGCTCAAACGTGAGTAACAATCAAACATGCTGCTTTTTTGCTACATGAAGACGACATTTTGACGCTTTTTGGCTGGACCCAACGCTATTTGATCACCGTCAGCAGGGCCGACAATCGAACCTCCTCCTCGTTGATCCTTCCTCTCGCCAAATGATCCAGGGCGCAGGGCTGGGGGGGGGGAGGGGGGGGGGGAGGAGCTGAGAGCATCGCGTTCAGGGACGCCCAACGGGCCGATTATCGCAGAGCTGACGTGTCCACTGTGTTGTACGCAAGTCACGCGGCCACAGCCGAGCACTTCCAACACCGCTGCGTGCCGTGGCTCCATGTTCACTGTCGATACTTGCGCGCGGCCCTCATAGATGTCGCTAGTGAGCGCACGCCTGGCCGGGTCCGCGCCGCGGGCCGAGCTATCGATGTGCACGCGGCGGCTGTTCGAAGCGCTGATGTAGCTGCATGCGGTGTGTGACGCAGCACGACGACCGGTGTGCGCCCCTTGCTACCCCCCCCCCCCCTCCCGCTCGCCCTACCTTCCTCCCACGCGCCGCCTCCCCCCGTCCCCCCCGCTCCCGCCTGGTCGCTCCCGCATGACCTCACCTCAGCGGACCTGACCCGAACCCGATCGGATGTCACGTAAAGCAGGCATGACCTGACCTGACCTGATGCCATGACCTGACCATGACCTGGCATGACCTGACCACCCGCCAGGGACTGGCTGAACCGCGCCAGACTTTGCAAAGTGTGCTGCTGCGTGCCCCCCCCCCCCCCGCTGACGCGTCGCGCGCTCCGCCGGCGGCCTCGAGCACGGCGCCCTGCACGCCGCGTGTAGCGCGGGGCCGCACGCAGCCGGTAGAGACCCGTAATCGCTCGCTTGAACGATGACCTGCGAGCGGCGGCGCTCGCTTGAACGGTGGCTGAGGAGCAGTCGAGAGGCGCTGCTTTCATCTTGTTTGAGCGCGTGAGATGTGAGAGATGTGCTCCGCCAGACGTGTCGGCCCCCGTCCTGCCCGACGGCCACCCGCTGCCTGTCCTACTGAGCGGTGCTGCCACCTGGCGAACTGTTCCGGGTGGGCGCAGAGGCCCGCCCCCTCTCCGGGCGGGCGAGCCGCCTGCCGGAGAGCGCGAGGGTCGTGTGTTCGCGGCTCCCCGCCGACAGTTTTTCGGCCTTTTCCTTCCCTCGAGGCGTGAGGTCTGTGACGCCAGGCGCCACAGCACCGACCATACATCGTTTCTGCCGCGCGACCAATTGTTCTAGGCGTCGGGAATTCGCAAGTTCGCAAAAACCAAGCATCGCTCACTAACCGCCAGTAATAGTTTGGTTACTAACTGCGCCCGTTCGCCAACTGACCGGCCGTCCGGCGCCGTCGCCAGGACGTGCTGGCCGGCGACATGTTTCCAGCTGCTGAGCCGGGAGCCGGAGCTGGCGCAGCTGATGCTGCACCTGGTCAAGCTGCAGACGGAGCACTACCGCAGCTGCCTGCAGCTGCTGGAGGCCACCATCCCCGGCTTGCAGGCCAGCCTCAGTAAGCGCCCTCGGAACGGGAGGAGAGAGGGATCAGGCCGGGGTGCGGCTGAATAAGATTCTTTTAGCTGGCGGGGGCGGAGCACTTAGCCTCTCAGCGGGTGGGGCGGACCAAGGGACGTGTTTGCAGGTGGAGTCGGGGTTGGGTTTTCAGCGCCATCTCGCAAGGTGGGTGCGGGTGTGGAACAAACCGGGAAGTGGCCATGGCAAAGGACGCTCGTGACGAGCGGGTAGCGTACACGACATGAGTTGTGGCGGCTCACACTGGTGTTGTACAGCTCAGATCAGCCGCGCGGGCAAACGTGCGCTGTCTGCAGACACGCTGAGGAGTCCGCGTGTGTCCAGCGCGTGTCTCAGTCCAGCCGCGCCTCCTCTTACCCCGTGCTGATCGCCGCCGCGTGGCCGGCAGACGCCGCGGCCGTGAAGCCCGTGTTCGGCCTCTCGCTGGAGGAGCACCTGCGCGTCACCAACCGGCAGGTGGCGCTGCCGCTCGAGATGTGCGTCTGCCGCCTCCTCCAGATCGGCGCCGATGAGGAGGGTCTCTTCAGGGTGGCCGGCAGTGAGTGGGGGTGGCGACGAGGAGGGTCTCTACAGGGTGGCCGGCAGTGAGTGGGTTTTGGCGACGAGGAGGGTCTCTTCAGGGTGGCGGGCAGTGAGCGGGTTTGGCGACGAGGAGGGTCTCTTCAGGGTGGCCGGCAGTGAGTGGGTTTGGCGACGAGGAGGGTCTCTCAGGGTGGCCGGCAGTGAGTGGGTTTGGCGACGAGGAGGGTCTCTTCAGGGTGGCCGGCAGCGAGTGGGTTTGGCGACGAGGAGGGTCTCTTCAGGGTGGCCGGCAGTGGGTGGGGGTGGCGACGAGGAGGGTCTTTTCAGTGGCGACGAGGAGGGCCTCTTCAGGGTGGCTGGAAGTGAGTGTGTGTGTGTGTGGGGGGGGGGGGGGGGGGGTTGCGCCGTGCGAAGACCGTTACTAAACACCCTCTCTCGAACTCCAAATACAAGTTTTTTTTCTCGCAGACCCCAAGCGGCCCCTTAGCAAAGTCGTAGGCAGTTTCGTGGCATGTATTCTTAAGCTCACAACAAACCATCGACGCACCATGGAAAGACGAAACCCTCACGTTCGCTCCATTGCTAACGAACCACCACCAGCCGACGCCACGGCTCGCGCGCTCTGCTCACGCCTGCTCGTGGCTGGCAGGCACCTCCAAGGCGCGGAAGCTGAAGAGCTGCTTCGACGCCGGCCTGGTGGACGCGGCGCACATGCTGGACTACCTGGACCCGCACGTGGTGGCCGACGCGCTGAAGGCGTACCTGCGCGACCTGCCCGAGCCGCTGATGACGACAGACTTCTACGACGAGTGGATGACCTCCGCCCGGGTACAGGTGCGGCTCGGCACCACCGGGGACGGACGGGGGACGGAAACGGGAACGGGAACGGGAACGGAACGGGGACAGGAACGGGATGGGGAAGGGGGTGGGGACGGGAACGGGAACGGGAGACGGAGACGGAGACGGGACGGAGACGGGAGACGGAGACGGAGGCGGACACGGAGGACGGAGACGGAGACGGAGACGGAGACGGAGACGGAGACGGAGACGGGGATGGGGGGCGGGAACTGGGACGGGGACGGGGAAGGTGGTGGGGCCGGAGACGACGGCAGATAGTGACGTGTGACGACGGACGGGTTATGGGATGGTGTGGCCAGGCGGGTGTGGTGCGTGGCCGCGGCGAAGCGGCAGATGCTCTTGACCGGGGTCACACAAAGTAACAGAGCCGAAAACATCGTGGACAGAGACATCCGCTGAATTAAACGCAACAACCAGTTGTGCGGAGATCGCAAGCGACCACGTGATGTTGTTATTGACCGGATGGCACTCAGACAAGCCACCTCGTGCGGAGCAAGCGGGCCGTTAGTGACGGACGGCCGGCGGCGTACCGAGGCGCGCCCGAGCTCGCCCGCGTGCACCCGGCTAGTCACTGCTCCGGCTCGCATATCCTCGACGAGCACTCGCCAGGCACACAGGGCGTCGTGGTGTGCGCCGTCAAATGACGCTCCTCTGTGTCATGTGACATGTCATTTGTCATGTGTCATGCCATCTTTCATGTGTCGCGGGCCGTGATCTAAGGTCACGCGGGTCGTGACCTCAGGTCACGCCGTTCCGTGGCGTGACGTCATGCCGGACCGCTGGACGTGACGCTGACGCTGCGGTCGCGCCGGCAGGAGGAAGGTGCGCGACTGCAGGCGCTCTGGCAGGTGCTGCACCAGCTGCCCGAGGCGCACTACACCAACCTGCGCTACCTCATCAAGTTCTTGGCGCTGCTCTGCAAAAACAAACAGGCGAGTCTGGGCGGGGCGCGGCTGAGATTGAGAGATCGGGCTGGTGACTGATGCGACGCTCGTCAACGGGAGGCTGAATCAGTCGCGTTCTTTCACGGATGGTGAGCGGCCGTCGGGATTGATTGGTGTTCCGCTGGACTGGCAGGTGACCGTTCTGCACGACGGCATCCTGTCCGCTCACGTCCCACCGCGTGGCCTCCCACGTGATGGCTAGCGAGCGCTTGACTGAACCGCCGGAGGTGCGCGTGATCTGCGGGCTGGACCCGATCCGGACATGACCCGGAATCGATCGTCTCTGCAATACCCGGCGCCGTCTGACCGCACGCCTGGGGCCACTCCGGCCATGCCTGTCACTCCGGCCGCTCGGGCTGCTCGGAGTGGCCGGACCAGCCCCCGTCGCTCGCGGCGTCGATCTGAGCTGTGCCCCCCCCCCCCGCCATCGCCGGCCGGTGACCCCCGCCGCCTCGCGCAGGTCAACAAGATGACCACGCAGAACATGGCCATCGTGATGGCGCCGAACCTGCTGTGGACGCGGCTGGAGGAGGGCTTCAACATGACGGCCACCGGCACCCACAGCCTGGTGGTGGACTCGCTGATAGCGCACTGCGACTGGTTCTTCCCCGAAGGTGGGTGTGCGCCGAGACGAGGCTCGGGATCCCCGGGCGGGTGTGGGTCTGGCGCTGTTCCCGTTTGGTCTTGAATTCGTCGGGAGTTGGAAGTGAAACGCGCATGCAACGGGTGGCGACAGGTAGAGTGAAGCGAGCGGACGTGTTCTTGCACTGTTGCCGTTTGGTATCGAAGCCGTCAAGAGTTGGAAGTGAACTGAGCATGTAACAGGTGGCGACAGATAGAACGTAGCGGACATTGAAGCGCAGGTTGAGCGGGCTGCTCTCCTGGGGCTTAAAGATGGCGCTCCTTCTGGCCTGGCCTGACGCCTCTGTCGTTCTCCGCTACTTCCGTAAGGGGTTGCACGTGCGCAGAAGTGAACTCTGGGTGATTCCGTCATCGGGCACGGGTCATGGTCCGTTCATGCTCGTGCGGCCGCGGAGGCGTGGTCTGAGACCAATCGCAAACTGCGGTTCAGTTCCCCCGGCTATCATTGGCGTGAAGCTGTTTGCGCTATTGCCAGTGGCCACCCGCGTTGTGATGTGACCTGATGTGGCTGAGAGCTGCATGCTGCGAACGCTAGCCTCTCTCAGTGGGAGACCTGTTAGGGCTGCTCGCTGATTGTGCAGAGGATGTTAAATTACTGAGCCTGAAGGTGTAATTTGTTGGTTAGGGTATGGTTGGCTCGCGGGACAGGGTGTTGGCATGTCGTGGCCCGTCTTGATCTGCCGCCGTGCCGACAGACGTGGATTTCTTCATCACCTACCCTCGCGAAGTAACGACTGAAACCTCACCGACGCCGGACTCCCCCATGCTCGGCAATGGCGTTGTCCGCTCTCAAGGCCACCACCGCTCGAAGAGCAGCGACAGTGGCGTGATCGCGGTGGACTCGTCCGCGGCGGGGAGTCCACGGGCAGCACGGCCAGTCTAACATCGGAGCCGAGGTAGGTCGCGAGGGATGTGAGACGACGCATCGCTCTGCTGGCCACGAACGTCGGGCGGCGCTGGGTTTCGTGGCCGCGTGGAACGCAGCGAGCGCGCTCGGGTTTACGGTGGTGGGGCACGCGGGGCTTCTCGCAGGTCGGTTTCGCCTTAATGCGGGTTTGTGCGCGTACGGTCGGCGGCTGCGCGAGTAAACGCCAAGTCCGAACAGGGCTCGCACTGCTTCTGGACATTGCAGCCGAGTGTGCTGTGGCAGTCACCCGTGCGGCGGCGCATTTCCGTGCTGGCGGCAGCGACGGGCATTGCGCCAGATCGCCGCTGATTTGCTATGCGGTCTTCGCCCGCGGGTGCATAAAATAAACTTAACATGCGCTCGCCGTCATCATTGTTTACGGTGGCAGCGCTGCGATAAAAATTGAGTCATTGTTTCAGCTGGTAACGCCGCGAGAAATGCTCTCCCGCCTCAGCGCTCAATATACAACACCAACACTATCACCACTTCATGCGTCACCACCAGTGAACACGGCCGGCGTCTCACCCGACCCGTCTCTCCCCCTCAGCACGCAGCACTGCGAGAGCCCCCGCCCGACGCTGCGGCGCAAGAAGCAGGCGGCGCCGGCGCCGCCGGCACACAGGCAGACGATTGCGACAACCGGCCGCGGCCCGACGCGGAGCTGCGGCCGGCCGGGCCCGGCGGCGCGCTCGACAAATCGTGCAGGCGGGTCGGCCGCGATTCGCCGCCGGCCTGCTGCAGGAGCCGACGGAGCCGCCCGATCCGGCCGTCGGGCCGGCGGCCGGTCAGACTGCGGGTCAGACTGTCGGACAGACTGCCGGGCAGGTCAAGACGGGCGACGCCGGCGCTGGGCGTGATGTCGACACCGGCCGTCGCCGCCGGCCCGGCCGCAGCCCCCGGCCATCTCTCCTGCCCCGATCCAAAAGGTAACCCCGTCCTCCGCCCGCAACGTGACCCCGAGCCCATCCCAGCCCGCGGCCCGCGGCCGCCGCCGTTCCCCCGGCGCCGGGTCAGACGGCGACCGCGGCGGCGCCGGCGGGCTTCGTCAGGCCGGAGCGGCCTACGGCGCTGCCCGTGGCGTGTCCCACCGTACCGGCTCCGGCTGCTGTCCCGGCTCCGGCTCCGGCCTCCGGCTCCGGTCCCGGCCTCGGCTCCGGATACGGCTCCGGCTCCGGCTCCGGTACCCGGCCTCGGGTCCGGTCCCGGCCTCGGCTCCGGCGCCGGGCTCCGTCCCCGGCGCCAGTGCCGCGCACCGCCGCCGGCGCCGGGGCCGCCGGTGCCGGCGCCACGCGCCACGCAGACGGTGCGGCCCGACCGGCCACCGCCGCCGGCCAAGGTGAGGAGAATGGGACCGCGCGCGCCGGCTGCCTCTGTTGGCTCGGCCGCGCGAGATGGCGAGAGCGCTCCGTGCCGCGGCTCGCCCTGTTTCTGTGCGTGTGAGACGCTTAGGTGCTGGCGTCTGCCGGGCAGGCCGTCACACTGCCGTGCGGGGAGGCGAGACGAGTTTGTCGGTGTGTCTCGGGATGTCCGGGTTGTCTCGGACTCCAACCGTGGACACGGCACGTTGTCAATCGACCCACGCTATGCAGCTACTCCCTAGTGGTTATTTGAACCGATGCCTCTGACGAACGCGTCCGTAATCTGTGTCGGGAGTTCGCCATAGTCAAGGACGACGAAATGACCAACAGCGCAGGCGCGGCGGGTAACTGAGCGTTGCGTTCTGTGGCCAGATCGTGGAGCGTGCCCAGAGCTTCAGCCCGGTCGACGGTGTCGCCACGCAGCGGCAGAAGGCCGGTCACACTACCAGAGCGTCCCAGGCACACTGAGGACGGGAGCAGAAACTCTGGCCGAGGTCAGGACCGGTACCCCTGTCCACTGTCTCTTCTCTGTGCTGAGATCTGCTGCAGTGTCACTGTGCCCCTGTGTGAGATCTGGCCCCCGTCACAGTGTGAGTCTGGCGTGAGGACCGGCTTCTTCTCACAGGTCTGTGTTGTCCACAGCGTCGCACCAGTGTTGGTCTCGCCCTGCGACACGTTCGCTCGCTCCGTTCCTCCTGCGTGCGTGTGCGACGCGTCTTGACCGTTGTCGTATTTTGTGAGTCGCGCTTGAGCTGTTCTGGCGGAAGCGCCTCTGAGATTGACAGCACGAACGCCAGAGTATACAGAGACAGCTCAAACCCATACAAGGTCCCGCACAGCGCTCATAGCGCGGTCCGTCCTGTGACGGACGCGCTCCGCTTCCGTTTGGCGCTGCATGAACCACGCCCCCCCCCCCCTCGCCGTCTTCGCGCGCTTTCTACGTCGACCCGCCGTCCTGTGGCTGTGAACATGTTTCCCCCGCCGCGCGTGACCGGCCCCGCCCGCCCCGCAGGCGTCGGCGCCGCCGCCGGAGCCTGCCCCGACCGTGGACGGCCCACCAGGTGAGACGCCGCCGCCGCCGCCTCCCGCCGGCGAGCTGCCGACCGGCCGTGCCGCCAGCGTTGGTCGGGAACGCCGACGCTGACGCGGGACGGGCCGCTGTGGTGTGGTTGCTGCGGGGCTGCTGAGGTGGCTGATGCCTGGTCGCGGGTTTCGGGACTGGGTCGGGCCCCGCGTGGGAGCGGTGGTGACGGGGTCGGACCGCTCGTCGAGAGACGGTCGGGTGTTGTTGGGGACTTGTGTGCTGGCGTCATGTGTGTGTGCCGTCCCGGTGGATCCTGGCATTGTCTTGCGGCTCTCCTCACAAGTTCGTCGCCCACGACTGTTTGCTGTCGCTTTCAGTTAAGGGGGTACAAAGAATGCGTGGGTAACTTTTGTCGTGACGCAACTCAGTCCTGGTCCTGCCGAGGAACTTTGCGCCCGTACCATCCACCTTCATCGCTTCAGCTGCGCGCCATCTGCTGACAATACCCGGCACCTGTGTTTCAGCCGGCGCGCCGCCGCCGTTTCGGCTGGGCGCTTGCCGGCGGGCGAGGCGCGGCCCGGCCCGAAGACGACCGGTCGCACCCGCCGACGGCGCCGCCGCCGGTGCCGGCGCCGCGCGCCGACACCACCCGCCTCTGACCGGGCCGGTGACGTCACTGGGGGCGGGCGGCGTGCGCCGCCGGACGCATTCCTCTCTGTGATACGGCTTCCGGGGCGTTGTGTGTGGGGGGAGAGCGTGCCGGCCGACCGGCCGACCGGCCGGCCGACCGGCGCCGCGTCGAGCCAGGCCGTTGCCGGCGGCGGCGGCGGACCAGGGCCGGGACCGGAGGGCTTCGGCGCACAGCACGCGGTCGGGGACCACCCGGGCGGGCGGCAGGCGCCGGGCCCGTGCGCCTCGCGCTGCCCGTCGGCCGGCACGGACAGCCCTTCAGACCCCGCAGACGCTTGAGATCGAGGTGCCCGCCGCCGTCCGTCGCCCGCACCTCAGCCGAGCACGCTGTTGACCACGGACGCCGGGGCGCGTCAGGAGGTTCGCTGCGCGCGGCCGGGCGCGAAATGATGACGGCCCCGATCGCGGTGCGGCGCGCACGCCGGAACACGGGCTCCACGTTGTGGCGCCCGGGGGCTCGTGCCTCGGGTGGACCCGACCGCGCGCAGGGGCCAGGTCTCGGGTGATATGAGGTCCCGCCCGGCCTGCATTTTCTGTTGTGTCATTGATCGTTTCTGCTTGGCTTACAGATATAAGTGTTGTTAAATGTCCGATTTTATACGGACAGCGTTGAGGCGCCTGATTCACTATCGTCCTGTAGTGATTTACCAGCAACATATAAACAATTATCGCAACGACTTTGTTGCTCGGGTGAAGCGTGTTTGTGCACCTCGCGTCCACTCTTCACAACCTTGCGTACGGAGTACGCAGACCAGGTGTGAAGCGAAATCGCGAATGCTCCCCCTGGTTGCGATTTGTCCTTAAACGTGGAGCAAGCGAACGCGAGACGGAACGGTCGATTGGAAGCCGGGTTTCGCGGCGCAATGGTTCGAAGTTCCCAACCGCCGTTCCACGGAAAGCGCGCGCGACGACTCGGAAAACGATAGCTTCGGACGTTCAATACTTGTCATTCGGGCAGCAGGCAGGCACGCTTCGCCACGCGCCATGCGGTGAGAAAACGTAGCAGACTGCAAGCCCAGCCGATCTCAAGCATTTCATCCTCGTTTTTCCTTTTCCGGAAGGCGGTAACCATGGCAACCGAATTACCTCCCGTTCGCCGCACGCGCCGCCCGGCCGTCGGCCTCGGTCGCTCGGCGCAGCGGGCGTCACGTGCGGCGGCCCGCCGGGCTCAGCATGTCCTTATATGGTCACGACGGTGACCGGCGCGGACCGATAGAGCTCGCCCGCGGGGGGGGGGGGGGAGGGGGAGGGCATAGGACGCCGCCGGGATCCGGTGTCGACACTCAGCTTCGGTGGCGCCCCGGGCAGGTGCACCGGGCGACCAGACAAGGAACAAAGCAGGTCCTCCAACTTGAAATGCCACTGCAGGGAAGTAACCGTAAACATGAAGTTACCGGGGTGCGGTATTTTGAAGTATCATCCATTGTATGAACTGCGACGACCAAGCTGAATGCGTTAATTGCAAAACTAAACACGGAAGGCGCTGGTTCTCAGTTGAGAAAGTCAGGACGTCTGAAGATGGTCGTTCTGCGAGACGCGGATATTGTTCACAATCACATGTTGCGCATTTGCCTCATTATTTTCACATGGTGCCGCTCTTCCCACTGATAAGTAAAAGGTGAATGAAGCGACAGTAACAATGATTCTGAAATAACACCATCAGCGTCTCCCCCCCCCCCCCCCCGCGGACCTTGCAGCTTTCCTCCTACAGCAATTTTAAGTGTTGGATAACGAACGCGTAAAAATTTCAGTGACCTGCATGCCGTGCGTACGGTTATATTTTGCCGCGAAGAGGATGGTGCGAGCTCAATAGCCCGTGCAAGCAACGTCACAAAACCGGCACCGTTGTTGTGCCACCATGAAATCAAACCACCTCGAAACACACAATCAAATTTGGAAAAAGAATGGACCAGAAAATGATGGGATCTAGCGGATCATATTTCATGGCATGCAAGCACAGGAGTGGCCTGGCTGCGATCACCACTACACATATTTGAGTGCGACCACCGCCGCACAAAGGTCACACTCAATATTTCCCTCGACATTTAAGTTCATATTTGTATGTACCTAACGACACATATGTATCTCAGCGACACGATAACTCATTATCTGGTCATATATTATCGGTTGCAATCTCGTCATATTATGATTGATGATTTATAATTATAAATCATGTTCGAGAGCCACACGTAACATAAAGAGCAATACCTCGTCACGTCTTCTGAAGTCACAGTCGAACACTTCCAACCAGCCAAACCGCTCAACAGCATCGCACATGTCATACAGTATCACAGAAATATAAAAGTCCACAACTCGCTTCGCGGCACCGGCAACATCATGAAACATTGGCGCAACAGCCCTCGCCTGTCGGATCGCTGAGGGTCTCAGCACGTCATGGTGATCTCTGCGAGAGGGAGCACCGTGCATGTTCATGGCTCCGCACAGTCACCGTGCCATGGACCGTGGCGGAACACTGAGCTCCAGCGCACGTCACTGTCTCATGACAAAACACACTCGCGCCCGTTTTTGTGTCGACACAACGATGCGGCACAGCAGCACGCGATGCTAAAACCGGGCTATGTTGGGCTTAATGCGGCTATGATAGGAGGTATACAAAGTTTGTGGACATTTTTAAAAATCCCGTACTAGCACTTGGTTTTAAAAATGATCCCGTCCACACGCATCCTACATTTCATCCTCAAGTGTCGTTTACCGCTTCACCAGCCACCGTTTATCGCGGGGGGACACAGAACCTGCGGGCGTCGGCACAGGACGCCCCCCCCCCCCCCCCGTCAGGCGCCGAGGCTTTAGTCCCCCACGGAGACCGGCCCCCGCGCGCTGCGGTCGCGCCGGCCGGCCGATCCGCCGGCGCCCAGCAGGCGGCGCACCTCCGCCAGGCCGGTGGCCACCTCGACGTTGTCCGGCTAGCGCCGCTGAGCCGCCAGCAGGTCCCGCTCCGCCTCGGGCAAAGTACCCTGGGGGGGGGGGGGGGGGACGCGGCCGGATGAGGCGAGGGGAGTTCACCTGACGTCAGAGTCACGGTCACCGGATGACAGGCAGGCAGGGCTTGGAACTGGTGGTCGGACGGCACACACAGTGACGAGCGCGGCGAAACGTAGGGTTCACAGCGCATTTCGGACTTCGTTTCATAAAGGCCTCAAGCTGAAAACAAACTCAGCCAGCAGACAAACACTACACTCGCAGCACAAAGATCAAGTGGCTAGAGAAATATAATTACCTGAACCGTAGCTAACAGCTGAATATGGGACAACCCTCCGCGGCCACATCATACCACGCGCACCATCCCATCACACCGGGCCCGCTCTGCTCACCCATCCTGTAGCTGATGGTGGCCCGATTATGTGCAGCCGCCGCGAGGCGCGGGTCCTCACTCAGCGCCTCCGTGTAAGCCGCCGACGCCTCGTCAAACCGCACCTGAAGGGTCCGGTGACCAAGGGTTACCGTGGCTGCATTTGGATGGCAAGATCTAGGGCTGATTTTGACATCAGGAATGTCCCACTAGCTGCTTTTTACCCTAGGGGTGGCATGACACTACCAGCATTTATATGACCATTTATGCATGCTGACAGACCACTTTGCTGCGACTTAAGCCACACCTGGCCATAGAGCAGCTGGCCCAGCCGGTTGAGCAAGAGTGCACGCCGACCAGCGTCCGAGCAGCTGGCCAGCTGGTGGCGGCAGGCAGCCTCCCAGCCTGCAGGCCGGGCCACACTGGCTCTGAAGTCTACTTGCTCCTGGGGATTGACTGACCTGAGGAAGCAAGGAATGGTCATCAGTTCTGAATAAGCACACCAATCAACAGCAGCTCAAAGGCAGGATTAAATGTGGCAGGAGTTGAGAGCAACAGAAAGTGTCAAAGTCATTATTTTGACTTTTGCATCACAACATGCAAGTTTACACATAGCTTCAATTAAGGTGAAATAAAGGATTCCTTAAAACTCAAGTACTTGAACTGAACCTATAATAGCAATTAAAACAAGTAATTATTCTCATATTTTGTCACATCTGAAATGAATGTGATGCATTTTCAAGTCGCACTGAGTCACAGACTTTCGTTATATTGTTTTCTTCAGATTATAGCAGGAATTTTCACCAGACACTTTGGAATCTATCATTTTATCAGCAGACTAGCACGCGGCGTGCTGTGCGCATGCCCTACCTACTTACCATAATTCATTCTCACAGTCAACAGACTCTCCAGTTTTCCCAGTCTTGTTCATGCTAGCTTCACTGATATCAAGTTCCAAAACGTAAGCCTATTGGTGGGCTACCAATCATCCGCGGATAACCCAGGCCTTAACTTAAACAACAAGCATGCTCAGAATGCAGAACAAAAGTGGAACAGTGTGCGTTACGTTTGCCGATCGTGCGCCAGACGTCCCTTAAAGTCGTGGCCAGTAAATAAAAACATCCAGATAAACACTTATTTTTTATGCAAAAAAAAAAGATATTCTGTTTAATTTAACCCTATCCAGAGCATCTTCCTTTGTTTTTAAGTCTTGTTTTGTTCTCTGCCTCAGTTGATACTTACTTTTACTTCTTTGTTCGCTTTCGAATCCAATGCCGACCTAAAGAGCATTGGCAGGTGGTGCTGCCATCTATTTTCTGTCATTCTGAACCATCAGCTCCCATCGAGCCGCACAAAACGAAGAGGCGTGTCATAGATTCAAGAGAGGTGGAGCGACACAAACAAGTCTTTCAGTTCAGTTCAGAACTTTATGCACCAATCAGACTCCCTTTGCGGCATGGGACGAGTGAGGCGATAGCAGACGTGCCTGCTGTCACTATGAAGATGATATTTAAACACAAGCGAACGGAGCTCGCTACCTTTGGGACCTACACTGTTCGAACTTATCGTGGGGCAAGTAGAGGAATCAGGGCTCGGGGTAATCCCTTGGGTGCCCAAATGGTATGATAACAGGAAGGGTCAGATACAGATTCTGGGAGAACTACGGGTATGGATGAGACGCTGATTGCAATGTCGGGTAGATATTTGCAAATGGAAAGACGTACAAAAACGGCATTTAGCGGAATACTTCGAGGAACAAAGTGCATCTTTTAAAAATTGGGAAAGGCATGACAACGCAGGCCCTCCATTGGTTGCGCCCACGCAATGGAATATCCTACTTTCATGAGTTGAGTGCGTGAAGGTGCCTTTCCATTTAAGGTTCGTACACGTAAGATGGATGGCTGCCTTTAAATGGGTCTGCCAACTTTAAGCCCGGCCAGACATGGTCCGAAAAAACGCGCGAAAACTGATGGAAAAAAACGCGCGAAAACTCATGGAATCACGGCTTGTCTTGACTTGTACACGATAGCTTGTGTGATTTGATCCACAGTTTTGCCGGGATGATTCTCCGTTTTCCACTTCGTCAGTATTCCTCAGCCCCGTATAGCAGCGACGCCTGGTAGCCGAAATCTGGGCCGGTTCCCGTCCCGGGCTCTTTAGTTTTTTCGTGACTCGAAAATTATGCGTTTCCCATGTCATTTTCTTGGGATGTGCGATGGCTACGCTACGTCACAAAGAAATACTACCTGGCCAAAGAGCCAGCTGATGTGGGGTATTCATATATACTTGTAAGATCTCGACCGAGTGTGTCACCAGTGTCCCAGGATGCATGTCCTGGTGTCATGAAAAAATGTGTCATAGCCACAGGAAACTAAAAATTCTCACGTATTTTGCGCGTCGCACGACTCCATGCTGCGAGTCCATGCTCCGAGCGTGCACACGCTTACTATAATCCGCCCTTGTAAAGGCCAAGTATCGAGTCCGCACTGCAAGAGCTCGAGTCCGAGCACTTTCACGGCTCACAGGTCAAAATCTGAGTCCGATTCCTTTGAGGTTGAGCCTGAGATCATTCGTTTGTTGCAGAATCGGCCCGGACAACGATAGTTCCATGCTAGATAACGAAAGATAAGGATTGTTAACGATGAAACCTGCGACAGAGTTATGTTACATTTAATCCAACCTTACCTAGACTTCCACCCTAGGATGGCCGTACTCGAGACCCACCAGGGTAACATTGCAATAGTTGTGAGATCGCGGCCAGGCGCTGACAGTCTTTACAAGGTTTATTGGCGCAGTGCCAAATCTGACGGGATATACGCCGAGCTAGTGCAGCCTGGCTAAACACAATTGAATTAAACTGAAACCACAGGCAGCGACGATTATCCATAAACCCAAGCACCACGGGAAATCGAGCCTCGTTCCTTTTATGTCCAGACGAGCAGCTCAGTCGCTACACTTCCGGACGCGGTACCCCCATTGAGGTAATTCATACTGATCTGCTTAACCAAAATGGCCTTCCATGAATTACGCTACGCGTTTCTTCGACATTTCAATCCTCTCTTCTTCCTGGCTACGCACTAGTTATGCTGTACGCAACCCTCACCCCCTCTGGATAAGCTATTTTTCGTTTGACCCCTAAATGAGCTAGAGATGCGAAACGAATAAGAGGCGTCTTCGACGTCATGAGAAGAAGCCAACGGCATCCATATTTAAGGTTTAACTCTATTTTTTGAGGATTTTGGCGTAATTTTTAATCACTCTTGAACGTAACGCTACCCTGTTTAAAATCTTCCCTCCCTCCTTACTTCCGCTTTTAAAACGCTTCAAGAAACCAACCTCTCCCCTCCACGTGTAACGCAATATATGGACTTCCCAGACCATTGTTGTGATGAAATTTGTTTCAAACTCCTTTATTAGAGCCGCGTTTAGTCATAGCCAACAACTTGTCCAAAGGAGATAAGTTTTGTGTGCAAGTTTTCCTTTTTTGAGCATTTCAACGTCAAGTATTTGGAGGCTTGGTTCAATATTGAAAGGGCTTAAATCAACATTCTGGGAGCCAGGACCATCACAAAAGAATGCAGCCTGACGTCACTTCTCTTGACTGACGTTAATATGAGCTCCATACCATAGGCGGATCCTGAGGCGGGGGTGGGGGGTGGGGACACGGGGCCATGCCCCCCCCCCCAAAACCTCTGAGACTATGTTCTGCCCCCCAAAAACATTCCCAGAACTTCATAAAGTTTTGTCTACTTACCGTCTGTTTTAACTTCAACCGTTTTTTTTAACACAACTGTGTTTTGTTTTAACTTATGTTTAAAATTCAAAAGCAATTCGGCGCTTTTTTCGGTTTCACATGGTGTCCCTACTAGGTACTCGCGAGAGGCACCATGCGCTGGACCTCGGATCCCACACCAGCCAGCTGGCGACGAACGGTTGCCCCCCCCCCCCCCCCCAATGCTCCAGGCTAGATCCGCCCCTGCTCCATACAGCTATGTATTACGTCAATTCGGTGGAAAATAAAAGCATCTCTGTTCGCCAAAGATGGCCTAATCAAATCCGGTCAGGACCTCAACGACCTGGTCTCCCCTGGAGAGCAAACGGCAAGGGCAGTGATGCAGGGTTATGCTCTTTCCCCACCCTTGTAAAAATCATAAAAACTAGCACGGCTGGACTACCAACTAATCTGGGATGTTGCCAGAGGACGCAGATCGACTGGCAACCACCTCTATGCCAATGTCGTCGCGAGACTGCGGCCGGCGTCGGCACCTACCGTGCGACTGGACTGCGGCATCTGAACTCACCAGGTCATGTTACCGGTCAGGGCTCTTTAGTTCAGACCAAACTGGAACGTCATCGGAAACATGAGCGGGATGTCAGGCTGTGGCCCACTTGAGGGCCCGACAACGAATGGGTTCGTTGGGATTGGTTTCACTCGATCGGGGCTTAACGTCTGGAGCACTCGCACCGCCAAACCTCAGAAATCAGGCGACAAATCCGGATGTTTGCAGTAAAGTCTAAGAAATCTGGAGGAAAGCTGACCAGATATGACGTATTTATCAAGGGATTTATGAACACACGTGCATTCTGAGAAGCGTGCAAATGATTGAAATCCAGGTAGCAAAGCCTGATCTTTGTAAACGTCAGGGCACCTGCCCGCTCGCCCCCCCCCCCCCTCCCCCTTCCCTCTCCGGTGAAGGAATGATATTGTTGTGCTGTGGGCCGGGGACAGGGTACAGCGATCACCGCTGTACTTTGAGCCGGGGACCGGGTACAGCGGTCACGGTGGACCGTAAGCCAGGGAGCCGGTACAGCGGTCACGGTCGGTTAGAACGCAGTCGGCCGTCGCCTCTGCCGGGTTCAAATCTAGAGCACAGCTGTCGCTTAGACCCAGTGAGAAGTGGACGGCATTCCGGCCGGACAGACAGGCAGACAGACGGACAAACAGCCAGACGGGCAGACAGGCGGATAGCAAGACAGGAGGACAAGCAGATAGACAGGCAGACAAACGGCCAGACGGGCCGACAGACGGACAGCAAGACAGCAGGACAAACAAACAGACAGGTAGACAAACGGCCAGACTGGCAGACAGTCGGACGGGAATACGGGAGAGCAAACAGTCAGAAAGACAAACAGGCAGAGGGGTAGTCTGTTAACAACAGTCTGTTCGAACAGCTTACTATGCATATGGCGCTCATCGGATGGTCATTTAACAACAGTCTGGAAACACAATTAGACTAATGACTAATGGCTCTATAGACTAACGGTCTGTCACAGTCTGCTTTTCTGTACGTATGTCTGTCAGAGCTCTGCTCTTCCGTCTGCATGTTTCTTTCAGAAGCTCTGCTTTTCTGTCTGTATGTCTCTGCCAGAAACTCTGCTTTTCTGTCCGTATGTCTCCGTCAGAAAACCTGCTTTTCTGTCTGTAGGTCTGTTAGAAAGCCTGTTTTTTGGTATATATGTCTGTCAGAAAGTCTGTTTTCTGTCTGTGCATCTCTGTCAGAAACTCCGTTTTTCTGTTTGCATGCCTCTTTCTCTAACAGGCCGATTGACGAACAGGCAGGAAGGCCAACAGACGGAATGCCACAGCAGAAGACCTACAAACCTCTACCGGCGAGCAGCTTCATATACCGCCAGCATTGTTAGCGGTCAAGCTTTGGTAAATGCAGCTGTGTCCCCAACATGTCCGAAAATTAGCGTTGGACCTATGACGTCACCTGGAAAGAGCAGACTCACGTAACTCATTCGCACTCCCGAATTTTGTTGGCGATGCTTTGCTCATAAGCGCCTCGATACGTCCGATTCTAAACAAAAATGACCAGGGGTTCATCTATACACTTGCGAGCATCTGACATGGAAGCGCAAACGGCCAGACAAGAGGATCAGGTCACGATTGATCGAACTTGGTCAGTGGTCACGTGGTGGAGCCAGTTAGCAACTTCTTATCGATTCATATCTAGATCTAGTCCGAACCATTTTATTGGACAAACTGCTGAGACCAGACCCGATGCTAAAGAGTGCCAATTGTGTGAG